TCCATCTTCAGACTTGAAGTGGAAAGACACATAGCAGCTGCTCAGTTCCATACGGCAGCCGTGTTAATATAGTGGAGCGGTGATGAGTGGATTAGCACTTGTGGCTGCAGTGATAGGTCTTATATGTTAAGAGTGGAAGATGCTAATCATGTATGCATGTAGAAAAACATAGAGTTCTCTTGTGTAGCTGATTTTATTTTTTTACACTTGTACTAATGTAACTATATTTTTCTTTCTGATTTGAACATGCATGGTGACAGAAGGTTCGATGAACCGATCAGCTTGTTTGATGCAGGACTGCACAACATATTGCGATTTGTGTTTCAGCTGCTCTTTGAGCCTCTGCAACCTCATTTGCATGCGCTGTGCAAATTTAACACGAATAAAAAATGAAATCCTTTTTGAATCCCTTTTGTCATGTTACCACAGGAGACACACTCTATGGACATATTAAATGTGATGATCAGCCGACAGTGCCTCTAACTTAATTGACATGAATATCTCCTACAAATCTAAAAATAAGTTTTCAATGTTGGATTATGATGTCACTTTACTTTGACTATCATTTGCCTTTTGAAAATTGGTCATGAAATGGAAATACCACTATAATTAATCTGTGTTTCTGTTACTTATTTTTAGTTGATTTATTTGTGCCTGTGACGGCTTAAACACAATTGATTAAAAACCAGTATAAAAAATGACGATGCACAATGTTTGACCTGGATGCTGTTGAACACAGTGCAGCCTGTTTTCTCTCATTTCTCCTCTGCGTACAGTTTTTGTCCCCAGGACTCAATGCTGGACAGAATGGCTGAAACCTGTGCATGTAAGTCCCAATATGCCGTTTCCACCTCCTGTTGTGGCTTCAGGGAGGATTCCTACCTCTCAAGAAAAGTAGCATTCTGCATCCTGCTTTGAAAATTGATGATAACAGCTTGTATCAGCCCCCTCATTGACTTCACAGAGACACAAACAAGCCTTCTTCATGTCATTCAGAAGCAGTTGCCGAGCCCTATCATTGTGTAGAGACATTCAGACATTAAAAACGTGTGGTGAATTTCTAACTGTACGTGTTACGATGTGTTTTTTTGGACCATGGCTCCTGGCAGCTTAAGGTCTGCACTCAGCTCCTGACAGAAAACGTTGACAGCCACTGAAGTTGGTCAATGTAAAGTTGTCATGCAGGTTGTTCATCACTGAAAAGAGGCTTAGATGAAACATGTTCCTCACAGACAAATAGATCTTCTTCTAAATCAGTGATATAGAGACCAGGCTAACTAACAGAAGCCTGTCCCTTCACTAGCGGTGAGGTCACGTGGATCAACCGACTTCAATCAACTTCATTAATAATGAAACACAAATAAATTGAATGTAAGTGTCAGTTTATAAAGCCAACATTCAATTAGGTGGTTAAGTTTTTCATTTAGCGTCATCGTGAAATATGTCTTGACCGTTTAATTCTCTGAGAACTTTGCTGGAAGTAGCGCTATAGAAAGTGTGACCAGAACTTTAGATTTATTTCTAAGTTCAACACAAGTCTGCTGTAGTACGTTTTACTTTTGCCTCACACGACTGCTCTTCCCACCTTTAGTTGCCTTTCCTCGCCTACTCATGGCTTGTGTGTGTTATTGAACGACACTGCGAATGTTGGCAGTGGGAGAACTGTGAGAAAAGAGAGAGCAAGAGAAAGGGAGCAAAATAGGTGCCATTTAAAGTGAAGATGTAATGCTAATTTAGTGCTTTAAATGCCGAACAATACTTAGACCCTTCAGTGGAGCTTTTGCATTTGGCCTCAACCTATAAACTACAGTATAGGATAATTTTAATAATTCATACTCACATACTGACACTGGCCAATTACTTGTCGCAATATCACAGAATATGTGAGAAGCAGGTTGTGAATACCAGCCAAAAATAATACATACATCTGATCATTTATCATCATTATATGTGGATTTGGATCATCAGTGTTTAAGCTCTAATCTCAAAAGCAGTGGACCAAGTTTGTAAAGATGGAAACCCCTAATATTGCCTGTCTCATAGTCAAAAGGACACATTCATCCTTTAAGGCCATATGATTGAAGAAAAGCCCTTAAAGTTCTAATCTCTTTAGTGAAGATGGGTTTATTGACCTTTAATATTTTAAAATTGTATTTGTACAGCCCAATATCATACATTTGCCTCAGCGGACTTTACAATCTGTGCAACATACGACATCTTCTTTCCTTGGACCCTCACATGGGTCATATACAAATTATAGAGCATGACTTTTCGTGGGTAGAGCTACAAACAGTGCATGAGAACAGCCCGGACAGAGCTGTCTGGGCTGACACATTGACCATCACTGTCACATCAGCCACTTTTAGCTTGCACAGAAAGCTAAATCTCTCAGTAAACTTTCACCTTGGAAGGAGTTCTCATGGTTACCTGGTTAAACCAATACTACAAAAGCTAGTGTTTCCTCAGCTTAGGATATGATTGACCAGTGAGTCACTTAAAGCCACTTTCAGATGAACTCACTACCAAAAATATTATGGTATTGGTAAAAAGAAAATAAATCCCATTTTAGGTGAAATTCTACTGTGAGAATCATCGTTTCATAAGTGTTAAAAAAGACATCAGGACGTTACACACACACACACACACACACACACACCTGTACCTACATTGCACACAGATACTGTCGTGTTACCAACAATGGTGGAGGCTGAGAGGTATGAGGTTTAGATTAAAATAAGACAATTTGTCATTGTCAGACTAAGGGGAAAACAGACAGAGAGGTCTTATGAAAATATCATTAAATCTCTGTAGTAGTAATGAATTATTGATTCGATGTGAATCTGGGTGGTGGCGTCGTGTTTGTGTTCAACCAATTAATGACATTGTTGCTCCCCATAGCAAAAACCTGTGTAGGCAATGTGCAAGGGAGGAGAAGCTGTTGCAATATTGGTATTTGGCTCTGAAAATATCTCAGTATTTTGTCACTGGTTTTGCTCCAAAGGATTTATTACACTTTTAATAATAGCCTGAAAGCACAAACAGTCTCGCCACCACCTCGTGTCCCAAATTAGACACAACATCATGGACAAATTATTGTTGTTGCTGGTGGTTGCAGTCGCAGCTGAAATATTTGTAAGAATGAAATCTACAGCATTTTCCCTTCAGGCTTAGCCATGTAAGACTGATATGCTACAATTAAATTAGTTTAATATCTAAAGGCTTGATCAACTCTGTATTCATTGCATATAAACATTGTTGTGTGTGTTTAATAAAAAACACCAGCGGAGAAACCCAGAGACTATTAAATCAAGATGTTTGTGTTTTAGGAGATTTATTCTGCCTTTGCATTTCAGAAATGGTCTCTAAAAGTCTAGTTTGTGTATTCTTATATATATTTTAATTGTGCATGGTTTGTGAAAAGAGTTGATGTAAGGGGGAGCACAGGATAAAGAACTTGATGTTTAAATAGCAATATCCTACCAGTAACATTATGCCAGTATTGTTTAAATTGCTGAACCCATCTGCATTAATAATCCATAACAGTCATGTTAAAAGCTGTAATAAGGCAGGACCTGCTACGTGCTGTCAGAAGGGTTCATGATGTCAAGCTCAAACTGGTTGTCACTAAAAACATCACAAGAAACTTGTGGAAATCCCGCCTTTTAGGTCTGGAGTGTTTACATGCACACAGTATAAATCCATTTTGTCCTTAATCATATGCAGGATATGATGTTTGTATTGGACATAGAGTAACCCAGTTTTCCATGTCCCTGATCATGCCTTAGTAACTTTATACAAGTGTCTAATCACTCTCTACCATCTACGGAGGATTTGGAAAAACTGCCTCCAGAAATGGCAGGTCCATTTGCTTTCGCTGTTAAATTAAATTAAATATCCGTCTACAAACTCGGACACAAATCTTGCAGTATATTAGTGCAGTAAAGTCTCATTCATCCGGTCGTTTGCTCACTTCTTTCCAAACACATACATCTACTCTAAAACCTTATTATTTAGAACACTTCTGCATAAACGGTCTCAGACTTACGCAGGCGTGCTACTTGTACTCGGAAGTCCAAAGTGTATTAAATAGTAAGGTTTTAGCAAAGTTGCATGTGTTTGGGAAGTGCTGAGCTAGCTTTGCTGTTGTTGAACTTGGCCGCTACTGGCCATCTACTTCGATTCATCACGAATTTTCTCAGTTTTTTGATCTTTCGTTCACCATGGAGGCATGCGAGAAAAACAAGAATTCATGGCAACACAGGGTGAGTAATTGATATGCAAATGCTCATTTTGGGAGAGAAGCATTCCTTTAAACAGCTTTTCATTCAAATGAAGCAAAGCATAAGTCTTTCAGCTCTCTGCTGTGTTGTGCTTGGTGCTTCCTTGTGTCGGTGAGGTCAGGGCCTAGACGACAAACATCAATGCTAATCTACGGTCACATAATAATCCATTCCACGTGACTCGGCTGATTGAGATGATGCACATGTTGAAGGAAAGCATTAAAAGACTGTTGAAACATTTAATTGTAACTCGGACATCTTCAAAATAGTTCACTTTTCAACCACATGGTTTTAACCATATAGACATTTTTGACCAACAAATCACCAAATGGATGGCATATTGGTCTGATTACTGTCAGGAAGGTTGACATGTAAAATATGTAACCAGCTGGTTAAGTTTTTAATGAGACCCAAGGTCCTTTCTTCTGCTTGTATCTGACTTAAGCACAACATTTTAACAACGTTGACTACTCAGGCTGAAGGGCTCAGTTTTGGAAAGAAAGGGTTGTAGATCCGGTTAGGACAGTTTGGAAGTTCAGGTCTAACATATTCTCTACTTAATGAGTACATTTGGTACATCAAACCTTTTCATTTAATTTGTGTGTAAATTGTTCAATTTGCTAACTTGTTTTACTGGTTATATTCAAGTTTGTATAGATGTATATAGAGTAAGTTTGTTCAAAAGCCTCAAACTGCTTAAGAAATGCTAATGTCACTCACCCCATTGACAGGATAGGTCTTCCAGTCCAGCTCTCCTAGCACTGTCGTAGTGTCCAACAGAACCACTAGAGAGAGAGAGAGAGAGAGAGAGAGAGAGAGAGACAGAGAGAGAGAGAGAGAGAGCGGGGCAAAATAAGGTCATGTAAAATGGTGATGAATAGTTGGAAGAACGACAGTATAAGCACAAAGAGTGACAGGAGAGAGCAGAGAGGGGAAGAGAGAGAGAGCGAGAGAGGTTGGACAGTGAATTTAAAAAAGAAGAGAAATGGAGGTGACAAAATGGGAAGAGAGCAGATAATAGTTATCAAGCTGTCAATGAGGAGCTGACAGAGCAGTGAAGCCCTTATCAGATTCAACCACCTATGAACAACAGCTCTTAGGAAAAGTCCAGGACAACACCAACACTAACACAGATCCGCCCTCCATCTGGAAGTCTGGGTGATTAGTACTCTGCCTCTCAGAGGTCAGGAGTGTTCTGTCTTCATGACATCAAAGATAAGTCAGAGATGAATAAAGGGAAAGATAAAGGACAAATACAGCAAACCTTTATGAACCGTATCATATTCTTCAGAGAACTGAAGTTCCCCCTTGAGCCAATTGATATCATCCTGTCACGTGATATAACAGCCCGAGATTGTGTAATTTTGAATCACAAAGCTTCTCTTGGCGGCACCTGCCCTGTGTAGCTGGTTGAGATTAGACGTTAGGGTCAGGATGGCTCATTCTTCGGGGCATAGTACCTGAACAAATCGGGATTCCGGTACCTTGCACGAGCATAAAAGCCTGGCCAACCGTAGCATTTCAATGCTACGCAGGGTGTATCTTGCCAAGATAAGAAGGGGGTTTCATAATTATGCCCTAAAAAGTACGCCCATATTGGATAATTCCTCACAATTTAGGTCCAGTTCCAATTATCAGTGCCAATGCTGGAAGTAGTGTAGGCTATATACAGCGAGGCAATAAAGCACAGTGTGGAGGTGAATGGGCGTATGGCAAGTCTTTCATTCAGGAGACCAGAGGGGGTTTTTTCCGTCACAGACCTTCATTTAGCATTTGATGTTTTATTAATTGTTATGATCGTGCCCTAAACTAAACCACGTGGCAGAAGGTAAAACAAGACAAGACATACTGTATATTATAATAAGGCACGGTCACGGTCACGCTCACTTCAACCATACTTGCATTTTGGGTTAAGCGTGTGTTCACACCAGTCTGCCTTATGTCGACTTTAGACTGAACAATATCCGCCCAACAATGGCAGACTTGGGGTATCGCTTATTTTATCCAGTGAATGTGCATTAGTGGAAAATAAAAGACTCGGCGACTGGGACACTTCCAACCAAAAGGCCTAGTTTTGCAACTTATACGACGTCACCTCTGATTGGTCCAGGTCCAACGTTTACGTCCGATATGTCTTGAATGTATCGCTCTGATAGCCAATCTGAATTTTAAAAACTATAATCTAATCTCAGCATCAGTGTTTGGTGGTGTTTTGTTTGATCATGTTAACAACTTTGTTTCTTTGCGTGCAACCGTGAGCACATTGTCTACATACAAGTGTGACAATCTAGAGCTGTCTGCACTCTGGTCACGGCTCAGGCATGAGGAGAGCCATTATCTGGCCCTTGCTGAACCCCCTGAGCCAATTTCATATGATGAATGTGCAATTTCCTTTGTCTCCACACAGCCAGTTAATTACAATCTCTATCGATAAAGTGCGTCCCACTTCAGCGGTCGACACTACAGACCAAAGAGTCACATCTTCAGACGACCTGTCACTCCCGACATTGCCAAATCTGGATTAATTCAAAGGTGTTGCACTGTTTTAAGAACAAGTCAGCTCACCAGAGAAGATACAATTTGATGAGACTAAATGAACCCCTTCAGTATTTACAGAGACTTCATTTAGCCTTGATCCCCTGCTGGTAATTAACGGCAGAATTATAATAAGATGGCTTCGTTTCTGTTTAAAAGGAGGACGTGGAGAGAGGGAGGGAGACAGACTGCAAGACAGACAAAGAAAGAGAGATATTGATTTCTGACAAAATTACAAAAACAATCTTTCATAATCATGAGCAATGTTCCATAGCATGTTTGACAGTGGCAAACATTTCCCACCAACTCCCTTCACTGTCTGTCTGTCTGTCCGTCCCTCTCATACACACACACACACACACACACACACCCAAACACAAGGTAATGTAGTCATAACATAATTAAATTCCTGCAACTGTAGGAGCCAGGAAATAATAGATGACCCAAGACCATAGTGCTGAATTTGATACACAGATTTTCTCACTCAAAGCGCACACACACACACACACACGTATGCCGACGAGTATTTATCAGGAGGACAAATCACATTACTCTTGTCTGGGTATTGTATCTGGAAGCATAATAATCCGCAACCTTTCTATAGGACCATAGGAAGAGTCACATTTTTGAATATGGGCACAAATAATCTACGTATATAGCAGTAAATCGCAACAGTTTCTCTTTTGATATCTCGTCGATATTTACGCTTGCCGAGTGAGGTGTTCAGTACAAATGAATCCTAAAGATGAGCTGAGTGTATTCAGTTGCTAAAAGCTCACTGAAAACCACCACAATCACAACGTGGTAACTCTCCTGTAGGTGGTTGTTGAGCTATTAATCTTAATAACTTGCATAGGCCTAGTTTTGAACCAAACTGAACAAAAAAATATGTACCAGAAACAGACTAAACATACCTGACATACCTAGTACCTGACACTGAACAGAAACAAAGTCACTGTTAACGTCACAATGACTCCAGTGTCCCTACAGAAAACCACAACTTGAGTCTTTTAAGATTTATTTTTGTGTGCAGATTAAACAAACAAGATATGATATGATTATTAGTGAGCTTTAGAGGGGCTGGTGGCCAGATGTTTTAGCTACTGAGAGAACCAGCTGTTTACCCCTTCTTCCAGTTTTTATGCTAAGCTAAGATAACATCTCCTGGCTGCAGCTTCATATTTACCATATGACATCAATTTTCTCAGTTAACTCTCAGTATAACAAACAAATAACTGTTGTTCCTTAAGTGTCAAACTATTTCTTGAAGGAAGGGTTTCATCTTCTTTGTTTGGTCTATTATTTTACCTTCACATTGTGGTAGATTTCTTTGACTTATGATTCCCACCACTCTTAGTAAATACAAACATTTTGTTGTGCAGTGGCACTACATGTGTGATTTCTCTATAAAAACAAGCCTCACCTACCACCTGTACATTCAGATCTCTTCAAACACAGCCTTTATTGAGCAGTTGTTTTCTGAAAATTGCTGCATGTGTCTGTGGGTGACATCTGACGAAAGTTGGGAAAAGTTTCCTATATATCTTCCCTGCAAGTGGCTCATGAAGACTCAAGAACTAGGCATTAAGTTAGAATCCTAAATTATTGAAGTATTTGGCTGAGGATATTCAAGCAGACAAGCACTTGGCTGAGATCCCTCAGAGAGACAGACATTTCTATAAGGGCCCTCGTCTTTTTTTCAGTTTCCAGGATGTGGTTTCAGAAAGCCATTGGGAGAGGAAGAATCATTATTTTCTATATGAGATGGTAATAAAACTCGACAGCAGCATCTAATTCAGATGATGCTGCATGCATCCTTGTATTTAAAGAGGAAGACCTCAATGCTACTGATGTGTCGGGATGAACTGTTGCAGTGATGCCAGAAATACACATAACAAAGAAATGTTTAAGTGTTTAGTTGATAAGTGATTAGCTGGTTAGCAAAAATGGCAGTTTAGGTAATTATGTGAGCCATTTATCGAGAGAAAATACCAAGTATTTGCTGTTTACAGCCTCTACAGATTTGCTTGTGAACTGAATGCCTTTCAGACAAACTCCTCCCCCAAACAGCAGGTGTCCAATCCTAGCTCAGCAACTGTAAATAGGAGTTTACACTCCAATCAACGGGATAGCCTTTTGCCAGACAGTGATTACTGTAATATACAGTGATTACTGTAATATACTGCAATATGACCAATAAATACCTTGTTATATAAAAACATCTCATTTCTGTCACTTTCTCACAGTCTGAGGGGACATACACAAACAAGATTTTTTTTTTTTAAATTAGAGTCATCATATACACATACATGAAATTTAACTTCTGCATTTAACCCATCCCTAGCTTATTGGGAGCAGTGGGCTACTGAGAAGCGCCTGGGGTTCAGTGTCTTGCTCAGGGACACTTCGGCACAGGACATGTAGCAGCCAAGGATGGAACCGCCGACCATGCGGTTCCATCCAGACAACCCTCTCTACCCATTGAGCCAAGTGGTTGACATTCATTAACAAACTCACACACACATACACACACACACACACACACACACACACACACACATACACACACACACACACACACACACACACACACACACACACACACACA